AGCAATGTTGGTGGTACTGGCCAGCTTCAGCATGCAAGTATGTTGCCCTGTTGGGAACAGCCCAAGAGTCCATGGCTCAGGAGTCTTTCCCAAATAATATCAGAGAAATGTATCATTGTATCATCATTTCACAGACAATTCTGAATTATGGAAAGTCTGTTTTATCAAGGATCCACAAAAACTGAGGAAGGGAACACAGTTTGTTAGACACTTTGAGGATAAAGTTGTTTGTATCTGCTTTGACTTCGGTTCCACTAATGTAGTAGATCCTACTAATACACCATATTCTGTTATAGTAGAATTTAAATATATGCAGCCTGCAGATGTAAACAAGATCTTCAGCAGCTGTGAGGTCAAATACATGTTCACTTGACCTTTCCCTTTCCCTTTCTGATTAAGACTACCAGAGGATATTTGGTGTAATGGGTAGTAAATAAGGCTTTGGAAGAAAGACTAATACAAACCATCCTTTTAAAAAAAAAAAACTTCATCAAAATAGTCTTCCTTGGAGCCTACAATACTAAACAAATTCCATCCAATCTCCAATTTACACCATCAAACCACTATGTACACGTGTCTTGTTTCTAGCGGATGGACATATCCAACCACTCAATCTGGTCAGACAAAAATATAATCCAAAAACTAAGTCCTGCTGGTTAGTTCTTGAATGGGAGACCACCAGGTAATATCACTTATTGCCAGGTAGGACTAGGAAAGAATCCTGCCTGAAAGACTGGAAAACCTCCTCCAACTGGCTGGAAACACTGGCCATGCGTTCTTACTTGGCTATTTGGGATTGAAATGCTTGAGCATGTAGAGGTACATCTCTGCTCCAGAGATTTTTGATTGAAATGTATTATCTAAACCAAGGCGATGGAGCTGATTCAGTTGAATCACAAACCAAATCAGGCCAGTTTGAACTAATCGGGTCAGTTCTGAAGCAGATCAGATTGCCCTAAATAGGGTTCAGATCCGTTCAAAACCATTTGGACCAATTCTGCACTTCAGACTCAAAAAGGCAGGGAGTGTGTCTCCATAAAACTGCAAAACAGGATCATATAAAGAAAGCACCAAGCTGGTGTGGTGAGGGAAGGAAGAAGAGAGCTGGATCTTGCTTATTAACAGCTCAGTCTTGGACAAAAATATCTCCAACACTTTCTAATCACAGCGCTTACAGAGAAGGATTGGATGACGGTACTGATCGGGTGATGGCCCTCTAGCTTTCAGTCTGGACTGGGCAAGAATCTCACCACAGTTTTTAAAAGACGGTTTACGAGATTTGGTGGTGATTTGATGTTTGTTGCAGCTGGTGTTTTTGCTTTTTCATTCAGTTTTCTTACGCAGCTCTTGGTTCANCCCCCCCCCCCCACCCCATTAATTGGGAAATCTGCAGTTCAGTGTTTTGGTGCTTGCTGCCTGTTTTGACTGTTCTGAGTCTCTGTCTCTTCATTTCCATACTTTTGGTCTTGTTAATTTGAATAGCCTGTCCTAATTCTCTTTATCGCTTTCTTGTTTTTTTATTTATCTATTGAACTACTATACCGCCTGATTAGGTGTGAAGCATTACTCTGGACAGTTAACAATGTACCTAATATAACATAACAATAATAAAGAATATAATAAAGTAAAATCAATAAACATAAAAAAATAAATCCATCATTGTCAGATAACTGCTAGGAGAGATCCTCTATTGTGACCAGTTTACGGGTGTCACAGCTGTCCTTTTCATTGTCTAGAGGGGAAAACTGTCAATGTTCTGAATTGGTCTCTGGAACCAACAATAGGCTGAAGGAGTGCTGATAAACTGAAACCATACAAGATGGGATGTCCCTGGAGAGGAAGAGGCATGGCTCTGGAATAGGAATTCAGCCAATTTGGTATGTCACAGTACTCTGCTTGAAGTCTGAGGGGATACTTTCTGGCTCAGTTTTGAACCTGGATGGTTAGGTAGTGTCTGCAGCTAGAAGTCCCACTGTTTAGGCTAGATACCGACTGCATCTATGCCTAATGCAGGGAGAGTTGACATGATGACAGATGCCTTAGTTGCATTTGGACCACATCATTTTAACTAAAGATTAGGAAGAATCAACCCTGTTGGACAATGAAAGGGACTACCTCTGAAGGTGGTAGACTCTCTTTCACTGGAGATTTTTTAACAGAAGTTAACAGCCATCTGCTACTGATATTTAGCTGTGTTTTCCCTGCATTAGCTGGGAGCTGGACTCAATTATGCTTGGAGATCTTTCCAGTTCTACAGTTCTCTGATTCTACAATTATAACATGTTCAATCTGAGGTGACTTTTGTAGAATCTTTGGAAATGACATTGGCCCAAAATATACTAGTGAGGATGGTGGTGGGTCAGCTCAAAAGAATCTTATTGTACTTGTCATGTAAGGGCTGCACTGGTTACCAATTTGTTTCTAGGCACAATCCAAGGTGTTGATGATTATCTTTATAGCCCTCAATGGTATCTGAACTACTTTACAGACTATATGTTCTCATACCAGAATGTGTGTACTCTAAGATTTAATTGAGAGGAAGTTCTTTATGTCTCAGCTACAGATTGATTGATTGATTGAATGATTGATTGATTGATTGATTGATTGATTGCATTTATATGCCACCCATTTAGACATAGTCTACTCTGGGCGGCCCACAACATACAAGATAAAAACAATTTAAAATATAGACAGTTTTACATAGATAAAGACAATGTGATATAAAACATAGTATCGTAATTTTATAAGTTTAACAATTAATGTAAAGCAAGCAGTTTAAAGCAAGCAGTCTCAAGATGGCCAGAATCAAAAGAAGAGAAATAAGAAATAAGAATGACTTAATTGACAGGAGGGAAGGCCTGCTTGAATAGCCAAGTTTTCAGCTGGCTTTTGAAAAAAAGATGAGACATAACTCATGGGGATAGAACTGATTATCTTCCATATGAATTGCAATGAAACTAAACTCTTTCTCTCATGAGACTCAGTTGGGCTAAGACAGGTGCATTTCAGTATCTACTGTTAGTGGAAGCAAAGTTTTCTCCTACTGCAGGTCACTGTGGTCCCTGAAAGTTTTCCAGAGGACTTCCTTACTCCCCAATGCAGGTTTTAAGGTTCACTCCTAGCAGAAATCAACGGATCACTTCATCTCCATCTCATGGTGCTAAAAAAAAGCCTTCCTACTTTAGACAGCCTTTTCATTTTATCTGCCAGATAATTTATTATGGGATCCCTCCATTTTGTCTGCTGCACTTGATTTTTATATTGCATGTTTACCATATTAAATAGCTTTTATTCTTGATTAGTTGCCCCTCTACAAGTTGTTGATGCACATAACTTGACATGGAAGCATCATATACAAGATATGCTATTTTCATGACAATAACTAAATATTAAGATTTACATTAGCAAGTAGATACTAGCTATCTGTTATTTCTACTTATTGTTAGAAATGGCTTTTGGAAACATTCAATACTTTGGATAAATCCATTGCTGTGTTCAGCTCACCTTGCATAATTTGCCCTGATTCTAGAAATGAGTTACTAGAAAGAAAACAGAGTCTAGAAGTCTTAACTCTTCCCTACTACTCATTTCTACTTTCTGAGATGAAAATTTCCAAATGAAAGTAAACTGTTTGTTAAATCAGCATCTACCGGTAGTCATTCAGTTTGCTCAAGAAAATTGTATTGTAGAAAATTGTATTGAACACATTGCATATGAACCAAACAACCTAAAGCAATTTCAGCATGCACACACCTACCCACTGATTTCAATAGAAGAGCTAATGTGTTTAACTTTCACCCTTTGAAATATGTATGGCAACACTATTTAAATTCATAATCCTTTGCCATGATTAAAAAAATCTATAATATATCACAAAACCAATGTGCTCTTTGCATCATGCTCCAAAATCTCCTGAAACAACAATAATATTCCTCAAACTTAACGGTATGTTCCAAAAGCAAATCTAATCACAAAAACCTTGCATCTCTGCCATTGGTTTTCCATTAGAAAAATCACAGACCAAGGACACAATGAAGGCCAATGAGGATCAAGTATCAGACTAAGATTCCGGAGACCTCGGTTCAAATCCCTGCTTCTCCACAGAACCTCACTGGAGGATACAGTAAATACATCACACATGCCATTAAAACTGTTGGAAGTGATTTGATGCTACATTAACAACAACAAAGGTTATAAAGCCGCCTAGAGTGGTCTTAATTGACTAGATAGGCGGGATAAACACTTAAGTACATTCAGCCATTTTGATCTCTGGAAAAATTGTCTGAAATACCACAATAAGTCATAATGAGAGTAGGCCCATTGACTCAATGAAACATATGGATGAGCTGACTCACCAAATCCCACTGATTCAATGGGCCTACTATAGACTCTTTGGTCTTATGAAAGCAATGAACACACTGAAGCAGGATGCCAAGTAAATATATGTCATGTCACATATACACGCAGGTTTTATACATGTGTTTCCCTGCTTTATCCAGCATCTGGGACTGTGTTCACGTTGCCATCACTGATCAGGCACCACCAGCACTGTCGCCAACTAAGACTGTGCTCTCAGCTTTGATCACACCAATATCTTTTCGACAGTTAATGAAAATTGAATCTATCTCTTTTTGATGTATTTGATTTGGCAACCAGGACTCTTAATCTAGATATTTTCAACTTTGTTGAATAGCAGGAAGTGCATATATAAAAAACATTGAAACATACAGGTCTGTACTATAGATTTTAGCTGTCATTAAATTGGCCTTATTATTATAAATAAAAGAAAATAAAACAAAAACTAGTCTCAAAATCAGCTACCAAAGAAAATTGGATTGCATCATTTGGAAACATCCAAGATAATGAAACAAGGATAAATATTTTCTATAAAAAATCTCAGAATCTCAAAGAATACGAGAAATTTACAGAGACGTTCATATCACTGAAGAGTTATGACCAACACATGTAAAGCAATGATCTGAAAGAAGAATATGTCTTACCTCTACAATTCCTATTTTGCCATCAGAAGTCTGTGCAAACTGGTCCACAATTTTTTTCATTTCTGGACTTAAGTCCTACAAATGTATAATACAGTGATTAATACTTAAGAAAGAAGGCAAGGGCAGAATCCATTGCTGGACATTCTCCTATACAAACTCCACAGAAATGAAGGCTTACCTAAGAGAAACACTAGAAGCTTCCTAGTGTATTGAGTGCTAACTCGTGTAAAAAAAACAACAACAAATGACATAATCAAATAACAACATGTTCTGCTACTTCTGTCTGATCTATTGATATCCTAAGCCTAGAGAAATGTATCTTAAGGTCAAGAAGGATTAAGAAAGAAACAAATGTGGTATAGAATTTCTCACTTTCAGATTTTTCCACCTGCCTTTTTGTCATTCTGTCAGAATAGTTTTCACATAATCCCTGACTGATTGGAATCAAACAATAAAAGCCTCCATTGTTGTTCTTAAAAAGCATCTGCCAAATAAAAGTGTAAAAAAATATGCAGAAATATGGAAGGAAGTTTTCCACAGTCACTTTCATAACTTCTACAGAATGCTTTTGCTGCAAAAATCAATTCCACAAACATCAGCATCATTTAAACATACAGGATTCCTCCCCCGCCCATGATTCTCTTACCTTCATACAGTCTTTATACTTCCCCCCATATCTATACAGAGGAGGTTACATTGCCAGAATATTATCATCTCTCATATCCTAACAAAATATCAAGAACAATTTTTTCTCTTCGAGCTTTTGAGAATACAAGTTTCCCCTCATTGGGTTGGTTCAAGATTTAGCCATGCTTAGACTAGACCCATCTCCATCCATACGACGCAAGTCATTCATGACCAACTGGTTCCATTTATTTCAGCAGGTCTATCTAAGCACAACCAAGTCTGACTATTCAGTGGATATGTTATAGTTAATGTACAAACATCGCTGTTTACCTTCAGAGGTGAATGCCAATAATCTTGAGCAAATTTTGTGAACACCTTAAAACTGGTATATCTTCCTTTTCCCAAGTATGTATCTGCAAATGCTGCCATTCATAATGAACTGTCAGCACGAACAGGGCTATTTCTTATGACATTGACCAGACCTGTGGACACTCTGACATACGTCTGTCTCATTATCACAAATTTTATTCAGGAAGAGGTTTTTATGAAATAATCAGAACTTACTTAACGTATCCTATGTTTTCTGTTTCCATTCTTTGGCAGGAAAAAATAATTTCCTTACATTTTAAAAAAAGAAAATAAACCATGTATTTAGGACAGTTGAACTTGATCAATGGGGTGCCCTTATACACACTGATCCTGTGTGTGTCCTCTCAGAAGAGAGTGCCATTCCATGGAAACTAAGGTAAGTGTAAGCATATATAGGATTGCAATTGTTTGATTGCAGTGCATAATGGGCACATATTTGGTTGCAATGTGTGATGGGCATTATTTGGAAGTAAATGCTACTGAATTCAGTCAAACTAAGAATGCAGTCAGATGGCTGCAAAGGCATACACCTGACCACACATAATCAGAACAGGAACAATCTGTCTTAAAGGGGCCCTTCCATCTGCCAGGGAATCCCTCCAGTCAGGCCCCAAAATGTAGAAGCCCTACAACTGCACCAAAGAGGTTTAACTGGGACATGGATCAGGGCGAACTGGAAAGCATTGCCCAGTGCATTGTGTAATTGCCAAGGAACAGGTCACACTGGACCACTCCAAAGCAGTCCAAATTGTGATCTATTTCCCTATATGATCATACCCTCACTTCTGAGAAATCTTGCATGAGACCAGGCTGTTAGATTTCCATTGAATTCAGTGCCACATTTCAACTAGACAGAAATCCAATACTCCATTTCAGGTTCTCCAAAATGAACAAGAAACTTGCTGACAAAAATGGTGAAATCAGATTTTAATTGCGAGGTATAAATAAAGAGTATAAATAAATAATACAGCATTCCTAAAAGATATTGAAGTGAAAGCAATTGCTCCTGGCAGATATAAAATTAGCCCAACTATGGAAGCCATCTACAGATGCCACTGCACTAGTTTAGATCTTCACAATGAATAATGAATCTCTGAACACCACACACTTCATCATTTAATCTATTTAAGCATTCTGTGTAAAAAAAGAGTTATTAATAACTCAACACGCTCAACCTATTAATTTTTTTATTAACAACATTGCCCTTGTAATCCCTGTATGGGGAAGGCAGGCAAGTACAGTAAGATAAGGAAAGGAGATTTTTGTAATTTTCTCTGTAATTTAGGACAACTAGAAATGGAGTGCTGGTATTGAGTTCTCAGAGGAATTAAATGAGTAATAATGAAAATGAATCTGCAGCTAATTACTGAGGTGTGACTATTAGTGATTAAGGATGAATGGCACCAAAAGACTGGGTCCATTTAGCTGGCTGGATAGCTCAGTGGTTTAAGTATCTGGCTGTGGAACCAGATGTTCGGAGTTCAATTCGCCCCTGTGCCTCCTGCAAGTAGAGCCAGCCTATGTGGCCTTGGGCAAGGCCGCACAGTCCCAGGACATCCCCAGAAGAAGGAACTGGTAAACCACTTCTGAGCATTGTCTATATGGAATACCCTTAAAAGGGATACCATACGTCAGAAGTGACTTGACAAGCATATTGGGGGGGGAAAGCTGGGTTCATTTAGTCATGCATAAAGGATCCTTACCCCATCATTCCTCAATTAGGCACCATTTAAATAAACTGGACTACAATTCCTATCATCCCCAGTCAACATGGTCATTGTTCCTCAGCACATTTAGCATGCTTGTATGTGTTTTTTAGCCTGCATAAATATTTAGATCTCCTGAACACAGTCTAATCATATGTTTATCTGTTCAGATATAAAGCCCATCAAGTTCAACAAGACTTACTGGTATGTGTATAGGACTGCAGTCTTATTTTTATTAATTTAAAGGACTGGAGAAAGAAAAGAACTTTATGAAGATGAAAAATTACTCAATCCCATTGTAAAAGATTAATTGAGTACATGGAAAGGAAGTGAAAGTTTCCAAAATTAAAAACTAAACCAGAATTTGAGATGATGGAGGAGAAAATAATGACATAGCTACAAATGTGGAATTTAATACTACTTGAAACAGTAGCCAATGAGGCAAGATAAGGCTGCAATCCTACACACATGTACCTGAGAGTAACACCCATTTAATTGAGTAGGACTTATTTCTGAGCAGACATGCATAGGCTTGCACTGTAAGTGTACTGGTGAGATACTTCTTTGGGAAGTTAAACTCCAAATCCAAGGATCAGCTTAGATTTGAAACCTCTGATGGGCTGGCACAGAGCAGTCCAGAAAAGACTTCAGGGGTCACGCATCTAAAGATGATCCAATGAGAGAACTGAAGTTTGGTACTGTTCTTTTTCAGAAGATTCCAGAAATAGTCTTCTACAGGAGCAATGTCAATGGAAAACTGAATAAGAACATCTGAGCACTTTCAAAGTACAGGCAGGCGTACAGGCGGAATCTATAAAAAGGCATAAATGATACTGTAGGTGGCACACAAGAATGTGCCCACAGGGATTTATATATCATTCCGCAAGTGTTCTAATTTTTAGGTGGGAACTTGACACCAATTTTTAACAAGGAAAAATTGGATGGCATGTTTTTAATGCCTCCTTTTCAGATGAAAACTTATAAGAAGTTATTAGATATACGTAAATTCAACAGAACCTACTTATAAAACTAAACCGTGAATCCATTTTTCAGCCTAATTGATATGCTGATGACTCATCTTGCAGAAGACATCAGGGCAAAGAGTGTACAAGAGGGACCAGCCATGAGTTAATTTGCAAATATAATTTATTATGAATTGTTTATTGAATCACATCTTTCCATCCTTTACAGCAATTATGTATTTCCTTACAATGCTAATGTTTCTGTTATTGCTATTATCATTTTTAGTATTATCTAGAGCAGTATAAATTGAATAAAATTGTATTTGGGACTTACATTTTCAATTATGCAGTTAATTCATAATTACAGAACAAGTCAAATCTACATTTTAAATACTAGAATAATCTTAGTAGGAAATACATCACTATTTTAGAAATACACATAATAGCTTTTAGACATTTCAAGAGACACTATCAAAGCTAACTTGTCTAAGTTGGCTTTCATAGTATTTTGGAGATGTGTTGTAGGGTCTATTTTTATTTTGTTTCTTTGAAGACATAGTCATTCATTAACAAATCATGTTTTAAGCAATATATCTTTATGCTATAAGTTTGTCATTTCATCCTATGCATGTTGATTACATTTTTTTCACCATTTACAAATTCTGTGCTACATCTAAAATTCATGCATTTGGGAATAGTTACATTGAAATCAATGGGACTAAGAATGGCGATAATCACAGACAGTCTAAGTCTGATTAATATTGGCTATAAACTTGTGTCTGAAAACTCCTGGAAATTCTTCTATTGATGCATTGATTTACTACATTTCCCCATGAGAAAACGTTCTTGTCATCTGTGCTAGACCTTAATGTTCCCAATTCCAGAATTCAAATTATTATATATAGAACTAATCTGCAGATCAGTTGATTGGCCACCAAGGGGCAGAAATGTATTTCAGCCTATATATTAAAGAGACAATTACCTAGCTATGATTACTCTTTTAACCAGGGCAAGGGAGATGAAATCTATAGAAGTAAATAATTATTTCTTTATAAGCAATGTATACCAAGGGCCATATCCTAATATCAGCAAAAAGATGCAGGAAGGAAGTGCTCCAGAATGTAGTTTATGATTTAGATTCCGTCTCACCCAAATTGTCCAGTGTCACAATTCCATTTAGACTTGGTAAATTATATTCAACAGCACTTTGAAAGACAGATTTGTGGTCAAATGGACAGAAGCCACCCTGTTAGCAGAACTGAACTACAAGGAGTTTCCTTTTCAACTGATAGGACTGAAAGAGGTTTGTGGGGAGATGAAAAAAAAAAATCGGACACCTACCAATCCTGCTTTCTTTCGTGCCTGCTGCAACTCCTGGATAAAAGTCTGCAGTTCCTTCCCATCCATGTACCCATTTCCTGGAACATAAAAGAGACAGCACACGCTTGTTAAACTACAGTTCTAGAGGTTCCTCTCATTCCCCGCTGGGGAAAGAAAAACACAACTTATGGGTTGGAAAGCAAAATGACTTTTTCGACCAGCACACTTAGAATGGGATCCTATGCAAGTCTACTCCAAAGTAGGCCCCGCTAAGTTGAACGAGGCTTGCTTTCAGAGAAGTCACTACAAGGACTGCGAGCTTAACTTCCATCCCTCTGTTTGGCTTCTAGAATATCTTTTCCTTTTTTTTATGCTGTAGGCGCTTCAACTTTTCCGATGCCTTCTTATAGGAAAGAAGTGACCTTTTTTTCCTCATGGGAGTTCAGCCCTAAGACATCCAAATAAGATTCCTCCGGCCACCACCACCCCCCGCCCCACAACCCAAGGCTGAGCCCGGTCCATAAGCAACCCTTCCAGTTTGCCGGCTTCGCCAAGATACTCCCGCTATTCCAGCTTCAGGTTTTTTTTTGGGGGGGGGGCAGGGAAAAGTTCTGGCTCTGGATCGCGCAGGGCAAAGTTTGCTGTTTGCAAGAGAGAAGTGCGGGACGTCAGCTGGGATCTCGCTTCTCCTTTTAGTGGTGCCGTTCCAGCCCTCAACAATCCTGTCCACCACCACCACCCCAGGTTGGGCTCTGAGGAGTTGGGACAGGGCGAGAGAACAGGGCGAGGGGAGGGAGGGGGAAAAGGGAGTCACCGTCAGAGTCGTAATGACGCCAGATCTCGAAAAACTGAGACGCTGAGATCTGCGCGGCTTGCAGGTAAGTCTCCGCGGCCATGGCGTGCGCCTCGGGCGATGCGTTAAGAGGAACAGAAGGACGGCGGTGGCTCCCCGGGTGGGCGAGAGGCTGGCGGTCGCTGTCCGCGGTGCTGACTCTCGGCTCGGGCGAGTCCTCCTCCGCGGAGCGCGCGCTCTTATTTATCCGCTTCTCCGCCCTTCAAGCCACGCCCCCGAAGCGCTCCCGCCCTTCTCCTCCTCCTCCTCCTCGTCGTCGTTCGTCCTCTTCTGCTCTTCCCCACCTTCAATTAAAAAAAAAAAGGTGAGCAGAAGGCAGGGTATCTCAATCCAGGGCTTTCTCCAAAAGGAACTCCCCCGTCACTCAGGGAAGTGGGGGCGGGGAAGAAGAGGGTTTAAAAAAAAGAGGGCAGTAGCTCCATGAAAAGGGATGAGACAGCCCAGCTGAGTTCTCTCCAACTTTGCTCTTCCCCCTCAGAAAGCAAGTGCTTGGCAGGATCAGATCAAAGTGTAGTCCCACATTCTATTTGTTACATGTTGACCCAGTGGATGTCCCTGAGAAGCCCACTAGCAGCATTGAAAAAGCAGTGGTTCTTCCCCAGGGATTGGAATCCAGCGGTGTGTCAACCCACCTGTACCTGGAGGTTCTTTTAGGCATTGCTAAGACTTCTCATGAGGTCATCCAGATGATCTGCTCATATGACCCCCGTCTTGGTTTTTCCCATTTCTTTTTGAACTTCTATCCTCTTCCATTCCTTGTTTGCACAGCGGAAGCAACAACAGAACACAGTACAAACCAGGTGGGAACATGGATGGAAACAAAGACATCTGCCCACACTAAGCTTTCAAGAAATTATTACAAATGGCTTTGTTTGAAGGGGTCTTCAGGGCTTCCCCCCCTCAGGTAGCAGCTTGTCCCATGGTTTTAGATGTATTACAGGGGGGTGTCTCCATTATTTATGATTTATTCAGTTATTTAACTATTTAGGTTATTATTTGAGTTTGTTATTTGTTCATGTCTTTTTATTTGGGAGGAATGATGGTTTGTGGGGGTGTTTTTCTTGTTGTTGTTTGGTTTGTCAATTATTTATGGTTTTGTATATGGCCACCCAGAATAGTGGGTTTTCACTAAAATAAATAAATAAATAAATAAATAAATAAATAAATAAATAAATAAATACTATACTCATGGATATGTTTTGAAGACCTTTCTTCATTGTCTTGGTAATCTACCATGTCCTACAGTGATAATAGTAAGAAAAGAAAAAGAAAAAGAAAAAACCACCCCCAAACAAAAAAACAAAAACAAAAAACTATTAGTCTTTTGCAAGATTATTCTATTAACAGATTCCAATAGCATGCAAAGTAGGATCCTCCCATTTCCCTAATTTTTGAACTATTTCAAGAGGGTCGGAATCAACTGGCCCCAGCATTCCTTTAGACACCTGATATCCCAATAATCAGAGTAATTGTAGTAGCATGTTGAGATGGTATATTAAATGTGGACAGTGAATGATACTGAAAATGATCGTAGAAGTAGCTCTGTTTACAGCAGTCTGTGGTTGGGTCACTGTTATATTATGGAACCTGATATACATAATTACAAAGTAATTAATGAGCTTTTCACACTCTATTAATCCAACTTATTTTATTTTATTTCTATGCCACCTTTCTCCCTTAAAGGGATGAGAAAGTTTGGAAAATTTTGATAACAACATATGGTTAGGCTTTATAGTTGAAATAACTGAATGCTGATGGACTGCATACCATTTCGTGGAAGCAATGTAATCCACTGAAAGTAAAGCCATAGATCCTGGCTGTAATGAGTTGAAATCCCCAAGAATCTGTAAGAAAACAATGTTGTTTTCTACTAATGGCTATTCTAGTAGTGCAAGAGTACTGAAAGTACTGAAAGTAATAGTACTTTCCATGCATCAGAAATCTGTTGTAACACAGAAATTGCCCCAGGCTGCTTTGGGATAATTTGTTAAGACAACCTCTAAGAAAATTGTGGTAGGCAAGGATTTAAGACCACGGTTGCTTTAAATAAGTTTGGGTGCATGTCTTCTGATGAAAAGTATATTAATTCTAACAGACAAAAGGGAACATGTTGCAAATAACTGTTCTAGCAGTGCATGAGAGAAGGACATTGGCAATGGAAGAGTGTAATGCAATTTGGCAGAAGTCTTTCTGGGACCAATCAGTTCACCTTAAAGCTGGAGGGGGGAAAGAAGGTGCTGGAAGGTGAAAAAGAATGACAGAATTGGCATTTCTATCATTTTTTAAATGAAACAGGTCCCTTCCAATGAGGTGACCTTTTCTATCTGCCAAGTATATTGGATTTCTCAGTGCAGTGCAGAATTTCATCTTCTAGTAGCATGTCCTAGTGGAAATTCAGCACTGAACCAGTTTCCACTGCCATCTCACTTGTTGTGTTATGGAGAGGTAGTAGAATTTATAGTAATAGGCAATAATGTAATTAGGATAAGGCCAAGCTAGTGGACACACTGCCGGAGGACAAGAGGATTGTTTTGCTAACAAAGGCAACTCTGCAAGCTAAGTGTCTAAAGGGCAGAGTGCTCTGTTCCGAGAAGAAACAGTAAATAGGTGTTTGAACTAATAAGTCACCAGAAGATGAACTAATAAACAACAAACAAAAGAAATGATAAAAGTGCTTTCGTAAACCTCAGGTCATTCTTAGAAATCCTAATGAGAAAAAGTATCAAAAATGGGGAGGAGTTTCTAAAAAAATATAATTTTAATGGCACCACTAAACAATTACAGTACTCTGATTATCTGTTGGGAGACGAATTCTGCTAAATATGGCCCTTCCAAGAAATCCCTGGCTTCTGTTGTTGATAATTTTCTCCTACAAAAAGTAGAGGAAGAAAGTAGAGGATTAACTACCCTTGACTTGATTCTAACCAATAGAGAAGACTTGGTTGATGAAGTGGCAGTAAGAGGAACTCTGGGGGAAAGTGACCATGTTCTACTTGAATTTTTGATTTCAGGGGAACAAAAGCAGAGTATAACTGCACATGTATGTTGGATTTAGAAAAGTCAATTTTAATAAACTAAGAACGGAGGATAAGTAATATCCCATGGCAAGAGATCCTAACTGGAAAAAGAGTCCCATATGGGAGGGGGTTTCTGAAAAAGGAAATTCTAAGACAACAATTCTAACAAGAAAACAAGTGGAAAACGGGGGAGGGGCGGAGATGAATCTGGTTTCACAAAAAGCTCAGACAGAACCTGAAAACAAACAAAAAAGGACACATACAGTGTAGGAAGTGGAGGAAAGACCAGGTCACAAAGGAAGATCACAGCAAAGAATTACAGGGAGGAAAAAGCTCAGAAGAAGCTGAAGTGAGTAAGAGATGGTACAAGCAACAACATAAAACAATCTTCCAGTACATGAGTTGCAAAAGACATAGAAAGAAATAATGGGGATGGCAAAACAACAACAGATTACAAAGGAAAGGCAGACGAGCTCAATTCCTACTTCAGATACTTCTCCCAAAAAGTAATCTATGATTCTCTTGGCAAATGGAAAATACAAGTGGAGAGAGGGGACAGGATTGCAGCTTGAGACTGATAAACAAGTAATCAAGGAATATCTTATTATGAATTCAGATCCTCAGGGCCTGATGAACTGCAGCCAAGGGTACTGAAGGAACAGGCTGAAGAACTCTTAGAACCACTGTCAATTATTTTCTTAAATCATGGAGGATGTGTGAAGTGTGAGATTATTGGAGGGCTAATGTTGTCCCCAACTTCAAAAAGGAGGTACCTGAGAACAGCCAACATGGATTTGTCAAGAGCAAATCATGCCAGACTAATTTTATCTCAGTTTTTGATTAGGTAACCTCCCTGGTAGATGGTGGGAATGCTGTAAATATATTATCTCTTGATTTCAACAAAGTTTTTAACAAAGTGCCCCATGATATTCCAATTAGCAAGCTAACTAGGTGTGGGCTATAGAACAACTATCAGGTAAATGCACAGTTGGTTACAGAATCATACTCAGAGAGCGCTTATCAATGGGAGAGGAAGTGCATGATGTGCAGAGTTTGATACCGGGCCTGTACTGTTCAACATTTTTGTTAATTACTTGGACGAGATAGTGCAGGGACTGCTTATCAAAATTGGAAGACAGACCTTTATAGGTTTGAGCACTGGGCTGAAAACAACAGAATGAAATTCAACAGGGGTAAGTGCAAAGTTTTACACTTAGGAAAAAGAAACCAAATGCACAGTTACAAGAGGAGGGATAATAGATTACTAACTGGCTATGAGTCAACAGTGCAATTTAGGCTACATTAAAAGAAATACAGTGTGCAAATCATGCTAAGTACTACTTCCTCTCTTTTCAGTACTGATTAGACTTCATCTTGAGTACTGTGTCCAGTTCTGGACACCTCATTTTAAGACGAATATGTACAAACTGAAACATTTTCAGAGGAGGACAACAAGGATGATCAGGGGGCAGGAAACCAAACCCTAGGAGGAAAGACTGAAAGAATTGGGCATGTTTAGCCTTGAGAAAAGAAGACTGATGGAGATAATATCATTTTTCAAATACAGTATTGCCTCGACTTACGAACATCCCTACTTACGACCATT